AAGTAGCTGGGACTACAGGTATGCACCACCATGCCCAGCTAATTTTTTTGTTTTTTTAGTAGAGACAGAGTTTCACCATGTTGGCGAGGATGGTGTTGATCTCCTAACCTCGTGATCAGCCCACTTCGGCCTCCCAAAGTGCTGGGATTGCAGGCATGCACCCCCACACCTGGCAGAAGGGTCGGGTTTTCTTTTTTTTCTTTTTTTTTATTTTTTAGACAGAGTCTCACTCTGTCACCCAGGCTGGAGTGCAATGGCATGATCTCGGCTCCCGGGTACAAGCGATTCTCCGGCCTCAGCCTCTCCAGTAGCTGGGACTACAGGCGTGTGCCACCATACCTGGCTAATTTTTGTATTTTTAGTAGAGACGGGGTTTCACTGTGTTGGCCAGGACGGCCTCGAACTCCTGACCTCCAGTGATCCTCCCACCTCAGCCTGCGAAAGTACTGGGATTATAGGCACAAGCCACCGTGCCCGGCCATGGGTTTTCTTAAACCAAAGCATATTCCCTCTCATATTTAACAAAACTGTGCACCAGGCCTGCATTGATTCATTCTCCTTTGAATAGCAAACCTCTCAAAAGCTGTAAGGAACACGGAAGAGCCACTGGCCAGGTGGGCTGGGTGGCGGCAGGGGGTCTGGGGTTCCAGCAGTTGGCATCCCCTTTCCCAGGATGTACACAGGGTCTCACGTACCTGTCCTGTTATCTCCTAGGTCAGCTCGTTGACACTGTCCGGGTGAAAAAAGGAGACCAGACCTTGTTTTCTTCCATGTTCGAAGCCAGTGTCACCATCCACAACATTGCTGTCAGTGCGTGCCCAACCCACCGGTAGCCTAGAAATATTTAGACCTGGCTTATTAACCATACACCTGCCAGAGCCAGCCCAGCCGAAACATGAAATCAACTGGGTACAATGGCTCACACCTGTAATCCCAGCACTTTGGGAGGCAGAGACGGGTGGATCCCTGAGGTCAGGAGTTCAAGACCAGTCTGGCCAACATGGTGAAACCCCGTCTCTACTAAAAATACAAAAATGAGCCGGGTGTGGTGGTGCACACCTGTAATCCCAGCTACCCGGGAGGCTGAGGTGGGAAAATCACTTGAACACAGAAGATGGAGGTTGCAGTGAGCTGAGACTGCACCACTGCACTCCACCCTGGGCACAGAGCAAGACTCCATCTCGAAAAACAACAGTAACGAAACAAAAGCCCCCACAAAATCAAACCACACCCCGTTTTGTGTTTTTTGTTTTTTTACAGACAGGGACTTCCTGTGTTGCCCAGGCTGCAGTGCAGTGGTACAGTCCCAGCTCACTGCAGCCTCTTATTCCCAGGCTCAAGCAATCCTCCTGCCTCAGCCTCCTGAATAGCTGGGATTGCGGGTGCACACTACCACGCCCAACTAATTTTTGTGCGTGTGTGGAGTTGGAGTCTCACCATGTTGGCCAGGCTGGCCTCAAACTCCGGGCTTCAAGTGATCCTCCCATCTCAGCCTTCCAAAGTGCTGGGATTACAGGCATGAGCCTCTGCTCCTGGCCCAAACCTAATTATTACACATTTGGGAATGACTGAGGGCATGAGCATTCACGTCCTTTAATAATGAAATGGATTATTCCTTGGGTATCACTTTGCTGGGGATGCTGTAATAAAGTGCCACAAACTACATGGCTTAGAACAAGACAGATTTGTTGTCTCAGGCCAGACACTGTCGGTCATGTAATCCCAGTACTTTGGGAGGGTGAATGAGAAGATCACTTAAGGTCAGGAGGTCGAGACCAGCCAGGCCAACATGATGAAACCCCATCTCTACTAAAATCATACAAGGCTGGGCGAGGTGGCTCAAGCCTGTAATCCTAGCACTTTGGGAGGCTGAGGCAGGTGGATCACGAGGTCAGGAGTTCGAGGCCAGCCTGGCCCACATGGTGAAACCCCATCTCCACTAAAAATACAAAAATTAACCAGGCATGGTGGCAGGTGTCTGTAATCCAGCTACTCAGGAGGCTAAGGCAGGAGAATTGCTTGAGCCCAGAGGATAGAGGTCGCAGTGAGCTGAGATCAGGCCACTACGATCCAGACTGGGGGACAGAGCAAGACTCCATCTCAGAAAAAAAAAAAACATTAGCCAGGCATGGTTGCATGTGCCTGTGTTCCCAAGCTACTCTGGAGGCTGAGGTGGGAGGACTGCTTGAGCCAGGGAGGATGAGGCTGAATGATGCCACTGCACTGCAGCCTGGGCGGCAGAGTGAGACAATGAATGAATGAATGCATGCATGCATGTCACACAGTTGGGAGGCTGGAAGAGTAAAGTCTGGTATCTTTAGGCTGGGCTCCCTCTGGAGGCTCCGGGAAGAATCTGTCCCCAGCCTTTGTCCTGGCTCAGGCATCCCTTGACATAGATGACCAACATCCTTCTATGCATGTCTGTCTCTGTGTGCAAATTTCCCTTTAAAAAAATTTTGGCCAGGCACAGTGGCTCACGCCTATAATCCCAGCACTTTGGGAGGCTGAGGCAGGAGGATTGCTTGAGTCCAAAAGTTCAAGACCAGCCTGGGGATCATAGTGAGATCCCATCTCTACAAAAAATACAAAAAAACTAGCTGGGCATGGTGGAACACACCTCTACTCCCAGCTACTGAGAAGGCTGAGGTGGGAGGATCACTTGAAGCCAGGAGTTCGAGACCAGCCTGGGCAACATAGTTGGACCTCGCCTCTACAAAAACCATTTGAAAAATTAGCTGGGTGCAAGGGTGTGCACCTGTAGTCCCAGCTCCTCGGGAGGCAGGAGCATAGAGTGAGTTCAGGAGGTCGAGGCTGCCATCATCTGTGATTGTGCCACTGCACACCAGCCTGGGCAACAGAGCAAGACCTTGTCTGTCTCAAAAGAAAAAAAGAAAAAGGTTTGCTGATCCAATTTGGAGTAATTTTTTAAAACTTTATATTTTTTCATATTGCTTGGCTTTTCTACATGAACTTTGTGATTATAACCAGAAAATAGCAGTCACAATTTTTTTTTTAGATGGATTTCCAATCTTATTGCCCAGGCTGGAGTGTAATGGCATGACCTCTGCTCACTGCAACCTCTGCCTCTCGGGTTAAGAGATTCCCCTGCCTCAGCCTTCTGAGTGGCTGGAACTACAGGTTCGCGCCACCCCACCCAGCTCATTTTTGTATTTTTAGTAGAGAGGGGGATTCACCATGTTGGCCAGTCTGGTCTCGAACTCCTGGCTTCAAGTGATCTGCCCGCCTCAGCCTCTCAAAGTGCTGGAGTTACAAGCATGAGCCTCCACACCTGGCCATGCTTATCTTTTTGTACACAGAAATGACCAGCATTTCAATTTTTGTTTTGTCTTGTTCTGTTTTTCGTAGATGAAAACGAACTGGCAGTTATAACTCGGGAGGACAATTTGTATTATGGGAATCTGGATGTCGTGCCAAGTTCCGTAATCAAAGTAGGTAAAAAGGAACTGGGGTTATGGGCTGGGGGCGGTGGCTCACGCCTTGGGAGGCCGACGTGGGTGGATCACCCGAGGTCAGGAGTTCCAGACCAGCCTGGACAACATGGTGAAACCCCGCCTCTATTAAAAATACAATAATTAGCCGGGTGTAGTGGTGGGCGTAGTGGTGGGCACCTGTAATCCCAGTTACTTGGGAGACTAAGCCGGAGAATCGCTTGAGCTGGGAGGCAGAGTGAGACTCTGTCTCAAAAAAAAAAAAAGAAAAGAAAAAGAGAAAAAGTGGGGTTATGAAGTTGCTGAGGAATGACTGTCTACCTTCAGCGCTACACTAAAAAAAGGAAAGAAAAAGAAATTTTTTTTTTTTGTCTTTTTGTTTTTTTCCTTTTTGTGGAGAACGGGGTCTCGCTATATTGCCCAGGCAGGTCTCGAACTCCTGGGCTCAAGCTATCCTCCCGCCTCTGCCTCCCTAAGAGCTGGGATTACAGGCGTGAGCCACAGCGCTCGGCAGAAAAAGAAATTTTTAAAAAAAGAATAATTGTCTTGTTCACAAACTTCTGATCCTTTTTTTGCAGGTTAGAAATCCCTCCAGTCAGTAAAATAATAACAGTAACAACAACAACAGCTAAAAGGGAAGAGTATTTAAAATGCAGGAGGTGCTGGCCGAGGCATCTTCATGGGTTACATTATTTAGCCTTGAGCGTCATCTTAGGAGTAGATCTTCATGCGGTTCCTATTTGACAGGTGGAAAAACCGAGGCAGAGAGACCTACGTCGTCTGTCCGGGCTCACAGTGGTGCTAAGTGGTGGCACGAGTGTCATCTGATATTATCTTGTGCACGATGCCTATCTATTATTATTATTGTTATTATTGAGATGGAGTTTCATTCTTGTTGCCCAGGCTGGAATGCAATAGTGCAGCTCACTGCAACCTCCGCCTCCCAGGTTCAAGCAATTCTCCTGCCTCAGGACCTGCGGAGTAGCTGGGGTTACAGGCATGCACCACCACGCTGGGCTAATTTTGTATTTTTAGTAGAGACGAGGTTTCTCCCTATTGGCTAGACTGGTCTTGAACTCCTGACCTCAGGTGATCCACCCACCTCGGCCTCCCAAAGTGCTGGGATTACAGGCGTGAGCCATCACACCTGGTTTTTGTGTGTGTGTGTGTGTGAGATGGAGTCTCGCTGGAGTGCCATGGGATGATCTCGGCTCCCTGCAACCTCCGCCTCCTGGGTTCAAGTGATTCCCCTGCCTCAGCTTCCTGAGTAGCTGAGATTATAAGTGCATGCTACCATGCTGAGCTAATTTTTGTAGTTTTAGTGGAGTCAGGGTTTCACCATATTGGCCAGACTGTTCTTGAACTCCTGACCGCAAGTGATCACCCACTTTAGCCTCCCAAAGTGCTGGGACTACAGGCGTGAGCCACCGCATCCGGCCACTGTGTCTATCTAATTGTATTTCCAAAAGGAGATGAAAAAAAAAGTAATTGTATTTCCACCGTCACAGTAAGTCCGTGAAGGAGATTCATCCACCATTTACAAATGGGAAAACAAAAGCTCCAGGTTTTCTTTTGTTCTTTTTTGAGACAGTGTCTCACCTTGAACTCCAGGCTTGAGTGCAGTGGCGTGATTTTGGCTCACTGCAGTCTTGAACTTCGGGTCTCAGATGATCCGCCCACTTCAGTCTCCCAAGTAGCCGGGACTATTAGGGGGACGCCACCACGCTTGGATAATTTTTTGAATTTTTTTGTAGAGTTGGGGTCTTGCTGTGCTGCCCCCATCCAGGCTGCTCTCGAACTCCTGGGCTCAAGCAGTCCTCCCACTTCGACCTCCCAAAGTGCTGGGATTACAGGCATCATTGCCCCAGCTTCTTTTTTTCCCAAGGCCACATCAAGTTGTTAGTGGCTGAGCCAAAAGAGTCCCCAGGGTCTACTGACTTCTACTTCAGTGTTTTTCCAGCTAGACTACAGCCACTAGAATTCCTGGAAGTTGCCTGACAGTGGATGAAGACTGATTATTTGGGTGTGGAGCACAAACAAAGGAACCATCTCTTAGGACTTAACCCTGACGTTCTGATGGGGCCAGCATGTATTCTGGGGAGAGGTTCCATAGCTCCCACCCATGATCTGTGAATAAGAATTAGGCACCAGTCGTGGTGGCTCAATCCTGTAATCCCAGCACTTTGGGAGGCTGAGGCGGGCAGATCACGAGGTTGGGAGTTCAAGACCAGCCTGGCCAACATGGTGAAACCCTGTCTCTACTAAAAATACAAAAATTAGCTGGGCGTGGTGGCAGGCACCTGTAATTCCAGCTACTTGTGAGGCTGAGGCAGGAGAATCACTTGAACCCCGGAGGGGGAGGTTGCAGTGAGCCAAGATAGCACCACTGCACTCCAGCCTGGCTTACAGGGCAAGACTTCGTTTCAAAAAAAAAAAAAGAATTAGGCTATGTGCAGTGGCTCCCGCCTGTGATCCCAGAGCTCCGGGAGGCCAAGGCAGGAGGATTATTTGAAGCCAGGAGTTCAAGACCAGACTGGGTAACATAGGGAGACCACATCTTATAAAAAGAATTGAAAATTTTGGCCAGGCACAGTGGCTCACACCTATAATCCCAGCACTTTGGGAGGCCAAGGCGGGCAGATCACCTGAGGTCAGGAGTTCAAGACCAGCCTGGCCAACATGGCAAAACCCCGTCTCTACTAAAAATACAAAAATTAGCTGGACGTGGTGGAAGGCACCTGTAATTCCAGCTACTTGGGAGGCTGAGGCAGGAGAATCACTTGAACCCAGGAGGGGGAGGTTGCAGTGAGTGAAGATCATGCCACTGCACTCCAGCTTGGACGTCAGAGCAAGACTCTGTCTAAAAGAAAAAGAAAATTAGCTGGGTGTGGTGGTGCATACCTGTAGTCCCACCTACCTGGGAGGCTGAGGCAGGAGGATCACTTGAGCCCAGGAGGTTGAATTTTCAGTGAGCTATGATCGCACCACTGTGCTCCAGCCTGGTGCAAGTGAGACTTCATCTCAAAAAAAGAAAAAAAAATCGTAATTACCAAAGGATGAATGAAGCTGAAGAGTAGTTAGATCATAAGAATGAAACTCTGTGTCTTAAAATAATAAACTAACAAAAATTTAAAATAAAATAATTCTTTTGGCCAGGCACAGTGGCTCCTTCCTGCAATTCCAGCACTTTGGTTCCAGGAGTCATGACCAGCGTGGGCAACATAGTGAGACCCCGTCTCTACTAAAAATATGCAGATTACCTGGGCATGGTGGTGTGTGTCTGTAATCCCAGCTACTTGTGAGGCAGGAGAATGGCTTGAACCTGGGAGGCAGAGGTTGCAGTGAGCCGAGATCGTGCCGCTGCACTCCAGCCTGGGTGACAGAGCGAGACTCCATCTCAACAAAAGACAAAAATCATAATTACCAAAGGATGAATGATGCTGAAGAGTAGTTAGATCACAAGTCTCATAAGACTGTGTTTCCTCCCTCCCCCAGCCCTCTCTCCTTCCTTTTCTTTCTTCCTTCCTTTCTCTCTCTCTCTTTTTTTTTGAGATGGAGTCTCCCTCTGTCACCCAGCCTGGAGTGCAGTGTGGCTCAATCTTGGCTCACTGCAACTTCTGCTTCCCAGGTTCAAGTGATCATCCTGCCTCAGACTCCAGAGTAGCTGTGATTACAGGTGTTCACCAGCATACCCAGCTAATTTTTGTATTTTCAGTAGAAACGGGGTTTCTCCGTGTTGGCCAGGCTGGTCTTGAACCCCTGACCTCGTGATCCACCCACCTCGGCCTCCCAAAGTGTTGAGATTACAGGTGTGAGTCACCGTACCTGGCCCTTTCTCGTTCTCTCTTTCTTTATTTTCTTTCTTCCCTCTACCTTCTCTAAATCTGCCTCATGCAATAAAATGTATATCTCCAAAAAAGCAATTAGAATGACTAGATCTCAGGAATCACTTTCTTCTTAGTTTGCAGACCAACCCATCTGGTCGGAGGCGGCGGCCCTCATGTTCAGGAGCCCAGGGATGGTGGAAATACTGACCCCACTGCAGGACGCAGCCTTTCCAGCCTTTGATTTCCAGAAGTGCCTTGTGAATATCCAGGCGCTTCTCATGGATCCTGAATTCCACATTGGGAGGTGCACTGTATGTGATCCTAGCTGTTTACATCAATGTTCAATGCACTCTTGTTTAAAAAGACAAATTCAAGCTGGGCATGGTGGTACATGCTTGTAGCCCCGGTTGCTCAGGAGGCTGAGGTGGAGGGTTGCTTGAGACCAGGAGTTCAAGACTAGCCTGGCAACACAGACCATTTCTAACATAATTTTTTTTTTTTTTTTTCAAATGCTGGGCAGCCGGGTGTGGTGGCTCATGCCTGCAATCCCAGCAGTTTGGGAGGCCGAGGTGGGCAGATCACCTGAGGTCAGGAGTTCAAGATCAGCCTGGCCAACATGGCGAAACTCCATCTCTACCAAAAAAAATACAAAAATTAGCCTGGCGTGGTGGCAGTGCCTATAATCCCAGCTCCTCGGGAGGCTGAGGCAGGAGAATCACTTGAACCTGGGAAGCAGAGGTTGCAGTGAGCTGAGATTGCACTATTGTACTCCAGCCTGGGCAACACAGCAGGACTCTATCTCTTAAAAAAAAAAAAAAAAAGTGCTGGGCATTGGCCAGGCATGGTGTGATGGCTCATGCCTGTAATCCCAGCACTTTGAGAGACTGAGGCAGGCAGATCACTTGAGGTCAGGAGTTCCAGACCAGCCTGGCCAACATGGTGAAAGCCCATCTCTACTAAAAATATGAAAATCAGCTGGGTGTGGTGGCGGGTGCCTATAATTCCACCTATTCGGAGTGCTGCGGTGGGAGAATCGCATTAACCTGGGAGGCGGAGGTTGCAGTGAGCCGAGATCACGCCACTGCACTCCAGCCTGGGCAACAGGGCGAGACTTCCTCAAAAAAGAAATAAAAGGGCCGGGTGTGGTGGCTCACGCCTGTAATCCAAGCACTTTGGAGGCCAAGGCGGGCAGATCACCTGAGGTCTGGAGTTCAAGACCAGCCTGACCAACATGGTGAAACCCCGTCTTTATAAAAAAAAGAAAAAATAAAGAAAAAAAGTTGGGCGTGGTCATGTGCGGTCTAAGGCTGCTCAGGAGGGTGAGGTGTGGGGATTGCTTGGGCCCAGGAGTTTGAGGCTATGATAGAGTCACTGCACTCCAGTCTGGGTGACAAAATGAGACTCCCATTTCTAAAAAACTAATAAAAAAATTAACAAAATAAGACAGACAATAGGATAGTATTCATCACCAATAAGAGATCAATCACATCACCCATTGAATCTTGCCAACACGATCAAACTCTAATCTGATGGGGCAAGCATCAGTCCAGCTGCAAATATGCCGCAAATACAAAAGACAGAGAAAGGGTTTGCCTGCACCAGGGAAACCCAGACTTCAAGAAATGCTACAGGCCCAACAGCACGGCGTCTTCCAACATCCATAGAAAGGAAAAGGGATAGGCCGGCCACGGTGGCTCACGCCTGTAATCCCAGCACATTGGGAGGCTGAGACAGGTGGATCACGAGGTTAGGAGTTTGAGACCAGCCTGACCAACATGGAGAAACCCCATCTCTGCCAAAAATGCAAAAATTAGTCAGGTGTGGTAGCACACACCTGTAATTCCAGCTACTCAGGAGGCTGAGGCAAGAGAATCACTTGAACCCGGGAGGCAGAGGTTGCAGTGAGCCCAGATCGTCTCAAAAAATAAATAAAAATAAATAAAAAATAATAATAAAAAAGAAAGGAAAAGGGATAGAGGAGAAACATACAGATTGTGTTTTTTTTAAATTTTAGTTTTTGGCCAGGCACGGTGGTTCATAACTGTGATCCCAATCCCTGCACTTTGGGAGACTGATATGGGTGCATCACCTGAAGTTAGGAGTTCGAGACCAGGCTGGCCAACATGGTGAAACCCTGTCTCTACTAAAAATACAAAAATTAGCTGAGCATGGTCACATGTGCCAGCTACTCGGGAGGCTGAGGCAGAAGAATGGCTTGAACCCGGGAGGCGAAGGTTGTAGTGAGCTGAGATCATGCCACAGCACTCCAGCCTGGGTAGAATAAAAAAAACAAAAAAACAAAAATCAGTTTTTGGCCGCGCGTGGTGGCTCACGCCTGTAATCCAAGCACTTTGGAGGCCAAGGCGGGCGGATCACCTGAGGTCGGGAGTTCAAGACCAGCCTGACCAACATGGTGAAACCCCGTCTTTAAAAAAGAAAAAAATACATATATATATAAAATGAGTTTTTGTAGAGACAGGAGTCTCCCTGTGCTGTCCCGGTTGGTCTCAAACCTCTGAACTTAAGTGATCTTCTCACGTCAGGATTACAGGTGTGAGAACTCAACCCAGCCAACAAACCTGGAGATTGAAAGAGGCTTAAAACACACAACAGTGCCGGGGAATAATTATGGTCTTGACATGCATACTAGGGCAGCTGTACTCTAAATAAACAGAAAAACGCCAGGCGCAGTGGCTCACACCTGTAACACCAAGCACGTTGGCAGACTGAGACAGGAGGATCACTTGTGCCCAGGAGTCTGGGACCAGCCTGGCAACATAGTAAGACCTTGTCTCTACAA